TGCCAGTGCGAGCTGGCTGTGCACGTGGTGGAGACAGGTTGCTGGTGCTGGTGCCGGGTGCCGGTGCTGGTGCTGGGTGCCGGGTGCCGGTGCTGGTGCTGTGAGCTGGCTGTGCACGTGGTGGAGACAGAGCTGGCTGGGCGCGCGTTTAAGACGGGCGGCGGCACTGGTCGGGTGCTGGCGCTGCTGCCGGTGTTGTCAGCTGGCAAAGCGCACCGGTGCTGGTGTCAGCTGAATGTGCGCGCTGTGGAGGTGCCGTAAGCTGGCTGTGCAGGCTGCGTACATTCTTGTTCCAGCCAGTCGCATGTCAACAGGTCGTGGGATTCTGCCTAGCTATCTGGGTCTATGCTGGTGTAATTCCAAACAGTATAGATATTACATATACTGTATATATATATACACAACATGCAAAACTGTGGAGTGAAGTCGGACTTTCTATTGATTTTTGCTGCACATGACTCACTCACATGTTTCTGTCGATTCATGGCTTTATTTGTGGGATTGGGACAAAGAATCCATGAAGCTGAAAGACACCCTGGTTGGTCGAAGTTCATCGTGTTTCTAGCTCCAGCCCTCCACAGAAAAAATCATTTTTTTATAAGGGCAAATTGTCCACTTCCCCGTGAGCAAGTTGGAGCGTGCCCTTTGTTTTTTTGCTCGAAAAGGCCATGAGCAAAGTCTTGGACGTCGGACCCTCAGCCTTGGGACATGGGCAGCTTACGCCATGAACAATATAGTTTGGTTCACAGTCTGGGAAGAGAAATTCAACAGAAGTGTAGCAGCTGATGCAAACGTTTTTGTTTGAAGTAGGAGACATAGTTCTTCTTGGATGCTGGGTGGGAGCTCCATTGTTTTCTCTGTGGCGAGCCGGGTGGCAATTACGAGGCTTCTACAGACCAAACCGACGGACAACACCATTAGGAGGCTGCGCTAGCTGCCTTGGAAGGATTGCATGTGAAGGCCATCGCTCTTAGGGTGGAGGCCATCGCCTCAAGGAAGAAAGGCGACTGCGGCACAGAGAGTGGCGTTTTTTTCTGCTTGGGCGGCTTGTACGGGGATAGGTTTAGTTATTTAGTTTGTGGTTTGCTTGCACCCCTGTACATCTTCGGAACATCAACGCACCCACCAACTCTTCTTGCCTTTCCCGTCTCTGCGCGATGGGCGCGCAGCACGGCACGTCTCTTCGCTTCCGCGCAACTCAGGCTGTGGAGCTGAACTGCCTGGTGAGATCCGAGCTCGGCGTCAAAGACAGCCACCGGCGCCTCGGCAGCCAGGGAAGAGCGAGGAAGTGGTCCGTGTCTGGGGAAGTGCGAAGGGGGTTGGGCTTGAGAGATTTTCTGCATTGGGCGGGAGTGGTTGTGGGGGTTTTGAAAGGGGTGGACCATGCGACATGTCACCTCAACTGGGAATGGGAGATGTGGATGTATTCAAACGGAAGGACCTTCTTTTTGTGCTTTGGATGAATATTATTGAATATCAACTGCACAAGCCCGCCGAAGCAACATGTGGCAGGAGCTTTTGGTGTGGTGTCGAACTCTTCATTCTCCTTTTTCCATAGCAGACTCGAACTAGAGAGAGAAAACGAGAGGTTTTAACAAAGCTGAAAGGAGAACAGACCGCATGGCTGCATGATTTATCTCTAGTCAGGGGACTTTCAGCCATCTGGAACTACAGGTGGCGGGGCGTTTACGGATTGCCGGGCGGTCCTAGGAGCAGAGAAAGCTGTGGTGGTCTTATATAATTACAGGTGTGAGTTAACCAGCATGTGAAATTCATTTGCTCAATCGCCTTTGGATCATACACCTTATCTTTATTTGTTTGATTGCTACAGTCACCATGCTTCGATTTATGTGTATTTTGAATTAAAGAATAGCTTCTTGTTACTACTAGTAAGGCACCTGTTACTACTAGCGTGGCACTTGTTTCTACTAGTGAACCTTGTGTACTGAATCCCCAGCAGTAAACCCCCAACTGCCGTGTCATCCACCCTCGACGGGACGCCCAGGATCGGACAATAATCCCGACACCTGCGGCGCAGCAGGTGCGCTTGATCGTGCCGCGCTTGCGGGATGGGGATCGGAGTCAGGTGGAGTCAATCAATGGTGTGGAAACCAGCCCGAAAATGTGGTGAAGGACTGATAAACATGGCGACTGTCACCATGTAAACCACAGCATGGTGAAATTTCTATCAGATTCTTCCAAACATGGTGTTTCACACCGGATTGGACCCTTTTTATGTCCTTTTTGAGGGTCAGGACTCAGGATGAGAAGGTTTGGACATTGATTTTGTACAGCGAATGCTCCATTTCATACTGGAAAGTCATTGTGATGGGTTGATTTGACTGATGGGTTGACTCAGTGCCCCAATTTCCAAACGCTTCTTCCGGGGTGGAGTGATTTTAAAATCACTCCGTGCCTTGCGTTTTTTTGGCAAGACCCAAACAGTGACATGACTGTCTTCAACGCGTTTGACTGTCACTGTCGAAGATATGTGATGGGGGCAGGCTAAGCCTGACTCAACAGTCACAGTCCGTCAGTCCGTACTTTCCATACCGTCTGGTATTTGGACGATGAGCTGTGTGACACTGCAGGTGTTGTTGGTGCCTGGATGATGTCATGAAATCGCTTTTGTGCTCTTCCGGTGTACTCTTCCGGTCTTTGGAGCCGACTCGTGGCCGGTTGGTATAGTCAGAGTCGCCCTTGTTACGAGTAGCTTCTTGTTCCTAGTAGGAAGGCCAGGAGCTCCTAGTAGCGTCCTTGCTCCTAGTAGCGATGCCCTTGTTACTAGTCAGAGTGTGCTTTCGGATGCCAAGTATCCTTGAGTAAGCCAGGTTGGATTTGTGAAGGCCACGCTGGCTTCCATCAGTGGGGCTCGCGCGCTCTTCGCTGGTTCAGTTTTTCCTTTTGGCGCCGTGGGCCCGCCACCCTGGGGTTTGGCCTGTGCTCGATTTTCCTGGACAAAGTTCTTTTTTCTGGGGGAGGGGCCCCCTTGATTGAACCTTTTCCGAATGCAGAGCCGAATCCTGGGTGACCTTTGCCAGTGAACGCCTGGGGGATTTTGACTTGTGGACAGCAGCCGACCGTATGAGAAGCCTCTTTTAGACCCGACCAAGCGCGTTCAGCCTCAAAGACTTAAAGAGTCGATCCGTCACCAACTGGGACCAATGAAACAACTACTGTAGGTCCAGGTGAGTTTGGGAGATCATGTCCTCCTTCAGATGATTTCTAGATGAGTTTGACTGCAAAGGACATGAGACAAAGAGAAGGGACCCTAGAGTTGCCAGCGATGATTTAAAAAACATGTCTGGGTGCAAGATCCTTTCTTTTTTCTTTCCCTGACTGAAAGCTTAGTTCTAATTGTTTTAGCACTGAAAGCTTCATGAAGTGACATGGAGTCACCAGAAGAACCTAGAATCGCATTTTGGAGTTCTCCGGATTGGTGACTGTCCCCTCCCGGGCCACGCTCACGTGCCCCCCTTTTGTGCCCATCAGTGAGCAGACCGAGACCTTTCTTTCTCGATTTGTGTGCAGAGCAGATTTGTCTGCCCTATGCACAGATGTATACATTTTCTGTGTATGATGCGTCATGTAGAATAGTACTGTATGAGATCCTGTAATGATAATTTATTAATATGTTTATATGCCTTTTGGGTCTTGTTGTTGCTTGCTACTTGCTGGCTTGGACGTTGTGATTCGTATTCCCGTGTGCCTACGTGCTGCTTTTTCCAGATTCGTCCTTCCATGCTCTGTGACGGGGAGTTGCCCCGCCAGAGCGGTCTTGCATACATGTCAGACTGTAGATTCCAAAATAGATTCAAACTCTAATAGAATGACCCTCTTCGACTTCGCAGCACACAGGCTTGTGCGGCCCCGTGGGTTCCAGCAGCATGATTCTAAGTACATGCTGTCGCTTCCCAAGATCGCCCCTTGAGAAAGGCAGATCAAACCCGACTTTTTAAAGAGTGGCTTCTGGGAGCCAACGCTGCTGAAGTTCTTCCAAGCCTATCAGGCAGCCTACCCCTTCTTCTCCTTTGATTCAACTTCTTTCCTGCTTCCAGGCTCCATTGCTTCGTGTAGAAGCGACGACTATGCACGTGCAGTTCCACCGCTTCGCAGTGGCTCTAAGCATAGACGTGGCGCTCGATTCTTGTGGAACTCGCTTCGCTCCAGTTGATCGGGTGGAAGGAACGAGGCGATCCAAAAATGGTGCGCAGTGCTGCGGTAGCCACACTCGGGTGTGGTAGTCCTAGTGGTGTTGACTCATTGACCAATCTGGGCGTCTCAAGTGAGCCAAACGAATCACCTGTGAGGTGAGCCTGGCTCACCCCTCTTCTCAGAAATGCTAAGGGTAGTGAGATACAACAGCTTGCAGCTTACGTTATGCAAAATATTGCGGGTGAGTAGGAAGAGTCCTTTGTGTGATTCCCCAAATTGGGAAATGAAGCCCAAAATACCAGCACAGAGGAAATCAGAAGACACATAATTGCTAAATCGCAGATCTGGATGAGTTGAACCTCCTATGGTCGTTTGACTGGCTGAACTGTTGCGTATTTCATCCGTTGGCACTTCTGCTCCGGGATGATGTTCTGCTGCAGGAGAACCAAGTAGTGCTGGGGAAACCACACTTGAGTAGCTGTGGTCCGAATCAGTTGTTGGCAGCCTGTTCGGCAGCCGAAGGCTCAAAGGAAAGTTCGATAGCCACACTCCCAGACTCTCCATTTCGTTCATAACAGAACCAGGGGAATAAAGAAGCCAGGAAAAAAAAAACAGGTCAAACCTATTTGCCCTCTGTCCTTTGCCTGACCCTGAACTCTCGAGTTTAGCACCGTCTCCTTCGCAGAGGGCTGGTAATTGCATAATTCTGCAACCCTTTACTCCAATTCCAAAGGATTACCTTCTTGTTACTACTAGTAAGGCACTTGTTACTAGTAGCGATGCACTTGTTTCTACTAGCGTCCTTGTTACTACTAGTAAGGGAATTACAATGGTAATCTGCTTGGTGTACAGCTAGCTTTGCACAGAACGGGACATGCTGCCATGTTGCGCCCCGACTGGCGCGAGCGTCCCGTCTGGCGCGTCCCGTTACGCCCCGCCCCACAGTTACCGGCTCCAGTGACCGGCCGTGTCTGGCGAGGTCGGCCACGATGGGCAGCTTGCATCTCTGTGGTACCTTGGCCGCAAACAACCTGTCTCTCGAGGAAGAAGTCCCTTGCAGTTCGAAAAGGGATTTGGTCTGGCCAGATTCACTTGGTTGAATATTTTCCCGCAGGAACTGTATATATATATATACATAGAATGATGCGAAACAGGAGAGACATTCTGTAATGGTTGGGAGTTCATGTTTTTCTGCTTAGCTTCGTGCCAGTGTCTGGCTTTTGTTCTGCACAACTTCACAACTTTATGTCGTCAATAACGACTAATAACGGGAGCAAGTCTCTACTGCAGTCCAAGATAATATACGATAAGGTTATATAGCGTTTAGATACGGTTTTTGATTTGCACTACACAGGTGTATCAGGTGTTCTTAACACTTTCCTGGTGCTAAGCTTCCTTCCTTTTGGCTTCCAACATTTCCAACTTCAGTTATTGCTTTCCTGGTTTCCAGCACAGCTTTGCAATTGCCGACCCTCAAACCCGGAGCACAATCACCTGATTTGGCCAGAGGGAAAGCCCTTAAGCACCGAGTAGCTGCCCCAAAAAGGACTAAGTTCCCCCAAAACAGGAACCAAATTATTAGCGCGTGAGCTCTCCTGCGAGTCTCTTTAGTAGCGTCCAGTACCTAATAGCTACAAACAAGCTTACCTCTTCTAGCAACCTACCACCGCGGCCTCAAAAAAGAAGGTTTTTGATACCTTTGAGGTCCAATTTGGGTGCATTCCTTGCACCGTTGCGCCGCGTCAGGGCACCGATCTGGTCTCCCGGCGCGTGCAGCGCCTGCGAAAGGTGCAGCCGGGAATCGACTACGAGCAGGACATGTGCGATCGGCGGTTGAATATCAGCCTCAAGACAGCAAGAACTCGTTGGAATCCTGTGTCTGCTTAGTATCTGAGTCTATGGAAGGAATGAATCCTTGATGGAAGTCCTAGAAGTCCTTAGAACACTTGATGAACGAACGACAGGACCCTTGGCGAGAGATCCCCTGGTGTGATCTACCACCCCTTTCAATGGGGACAGAAGAGCGGCTGGTGCAGCTGCGAAAAGACATGGAGGTAGGGAAGGGAAGAGGAGTCGGAAGGAGTGCTTATCTTGGAGGACCACTTGGGCTTGGCCTGGCTTTGGCTTTCTGACTGTGGACGACCTTTCTAGCCAGAGAAAAGGGACTTCTTGATCCAACTTCCCCAATAATCCATTCACTTGGGTCAATGAGCAATCGAACAGGAATGCACTTGTTACTGTACTAGTAGCGATGCACTTGTTGCTAGTAGTAATGCCGAATGCCCTTCACAGGTTGTTTGCGCCCCACTCTCAACAGGAAGCCTATGGTGAAGAGCATATTGAGCCGTGGCACGTGCGACGAAAAGAGATTGAGGCGGGGTGGGACATATTGATATGCCTACCTCTCACTAACCGTAAGCAGTCTAGTCGGATAGGCAATGCAGAATCTAAATCCAAGGCAATCTACTAGTCAAATCTTGAGCCTTACTTGATCCTGACCACTTTGTACTTTTGATAATCCTGTTTAGTTTAGTCAGAGCTATATTCAGTCCCAAACTACTACAATCCATTTGTTGTGATCAGACCTTGTCGAGTCCCCAAACAATGCCAGCTCGTTGCGGCCCGGGGGTAGATACCAAGCCAATACTCAAATCAAAGATATGATGCACAAGCATTTGTTGCGCATGTATATACATCCCGCATGTGTTGAGAGGGCGTGTCAAGTCCATGATTCTTTGGAGCTGCATCGCCCTAATAGGGCGGCCCGCACGGTCTTAGTTGTCATGCAGAAATGCGGAATGTTTCAAATTCAGATGTCAGATGTATGTACTGGATTTTTTTGTCATTAGGTACATGGGCCCCAGACCTGTTGCGGACTGATCCCCAAATCCTTTCACGCGCAACGTGTGCCACGTTGCAAGGAGGTCTTCCGCCCCAATCGTTGTGCGAATACCTATGGGGAGCTTGATCACAATGGTTTCGCAAGGCTCCTGCAGGAGCGTTCGCAACAAAACCGTTGGGGACCGGCTCATCGGTTGGCGGCCCTGTTTTGGATTTCACGAGTTGCTGCAAAGCGCCCAGTCCCCACTGATGGCAACTAGCATGGCGCATGTCCAGGGCACGCTGTATCACATCTTGTGCAGAATGACTATTTGTGGTACTTAAGTTTTTGGACCTCCAAAAGTAAAAAACATCAACATGGACGAATCATAAAGTGATCGCTCATGTTGCAAGATGTGCCTCTGAAGGTCTTTCGTTTGCTAGCAAGAAAGTTGCACAGTCACAAGATTTTATGTTGTCAGTTGACGTGTGCAAACTTCACCAGAATCCCTAAACCGCTGTCATTTTGAAAGCTCAGCAGCTCATCAACAAAGTGTGCTGCCTCTGTAGGCTGTCCGACCATTTTTCAAGGCCTTCTTTTCATGGAGGTGATCTTCCTGCACTGGACGTCATATTCAAGCTTACTTATATATATATACAGTAAGTCTCACCACTTTGAGAGGGTGTTTAAGATCGATCGCTGATGCCAAAAACCAACAAAATTACAATGGCTTCGTCCATTTGTTGGGCGAAGCAAAAGCGACCTGAGCGACCTGCCCTCCCTACCCGCCAGGAGGCCTCGCTTCAGCCACACCACCGCTTTTGTGACGTGGGCAGCGGCCTGGGGAAGTTGGTGCTTTGTGCGGCGGTGGTGACCTGCGCCGAGTGCTATGGAGTGGAGATCAGCCCCCACAGGCTGCGATAGCGGATGCCGTCGCAATTAGCAAACGGGAGATGCTGAGGTCGGTGATTTCAGACAGTAAGACTATTGCACAGGTTCAGCACCATTTTGTGAGGCTCATTTGGGAGGTGGCACAACATGTAGATCCAATCCGCTTCCATGGGAAAGGTACTCTCTTCAGGGCTAAATAGCTTCATGGCGAACACAAGGCGACGAAACAATTAGGCTTTCCAGAGGTCTATCCTTTGCAAAAGTGTTATGATCAAACACACTTTTCACCGTTGGAATTCCGATAAAGGAAGCCCCAACTTCCGGTGTGCGCTTGGGCTTTGCCAGGGCAGCCAAGGCGAACAATGTGCTAGTCCTCTCCAACCTCAAAGGTTGTTGATCAAAGATGGGCCAACGCCAGGTGCTAGCAGTCCATTCGCAGCCCAAAACTCCTAGCTTGGAAGGGGAATCCGTTGAAAGCTTTCGTTCGCCTGCTTTGTACCACAACGGATGGAGCGAGTTTTCACGGATGGACCTCTTTTGTCCCGCGCCTCCAGGCATCAGTGTGCCCTCGAGGGCTTCCAGAGACTGAAAGCCAGCGGCGCCATCTCTGCCGAGGAGGTGAGAAACTGCGAAGGATTTCTGCCGGGGGCGAAAAGGAGGATTTCTGAGTGACTGCGTGTCAGACTGGGGCAGATGATTCGCCCTAACTAGGTCTTAGACATGTGCAAAGTAACTAGGGCCAATGAGCAGAATGTGTTTCAGTTCCTTTTAGGGATGTGTTCATATTAGCTGGTCGTGTCCAGCGGCAAGATATGTCCTTGTCGTTGGATGAGTGTTGTATTTCGATGAAGCTTTCATGGGCTTGCCGTTCTCACACACACACATATATATATATATATACACTCATATCAGAATAGGATTCATGGCCAGTCTTGGACATAGAGCTTTGTGGATGAGGCTTGTCCAGAACCTCTTGCCATGACACAATTCCTGCTTAATTTGCGAGTCCACCACCAGATTTTCACCTGCAACTCGTGCAACTCTGCCCAAACTCTACATTTTCGGGTAAGCTTATCACTAGGACTAGGAGATCGGTCTCATACTAGACATCCCCGCTGAGAGATGCCTCAGAAGTGGTGGCAGTGTTGGCCCTTTCTCTGCAGAAGACTCGAAACATACATCTATGCTTCCTTGTGTTTCATCAGAACGCCTTCGTATTACTTATCCGCTTCCCAAGGTTATCTACCATTCACGCCCTCCTAACTCAAGTTCAATGTTCCAAGCTCATCTTCTGACGTATTTTTACCACAGTCGACAACAATCGGTTCTGCAAGACGTTGTGCATTCAACATATATTGTAAGGGCTCCGCCCGGGTGCCGCCGACCCCTTTTCATCTCGAGGGTTTGGCGGTTGAACCTTGACAACTTCCTGGGATTCAACAGCGAGACTTGGATGGGCTTCACACCAATGCTGGCATTCAACCAGCTGCCGAGAAGAGGGCAAGGCTGCGGTGAGGCTCTGGGGAGCG